GAAAGGCATGCACCCAGACATTCTCTACCAAGCAGCATCAATTCCTTTATATTCATGGGAGAAGGCTGCCATTTATGGTTGGAAAAATCTCACATAGGTAGCACATTCTTATATACATTATGAACAGCATTATGGAACTGCGGAGACCAGATATGATGGAAATAATTGTGGCAGTTAAGGTTTTGTTGGTCCTGACACAGATGGAAAGGTTCTGAGTTCTCTGTGATTCTGCATTGCAGACATTACCAAGTGATGGACAAAAATTTGCCAGTAGTAGTTGCTGCCCCATGGGGACCCAATAGGCCAGTTCCCAGTTGGACAAAGCTGCTATTTCTTTCTCCTCCTTCTCCTCTTTCTCTTCCTTCTCCTCCTCCTCCTCTTCTCCCTCTGTCAATGAGGGAATTCATACCATTACATGGGGGTGCTCTATCCAAAGGAATATAAATTTTGATTACCTATATTTCACAAGGGATCTTGAGGTTTGGGGGCTAGATTTTTTTCTTTCTTATTTATTCTGTCATCCCCCTCCCATGGGACAATGAACTCTTTTGTCTCACATAGTTTTCACTTATAATTTCCTGAAATATAGCCCTGGAAAATGAGGCTTTGAGAAAGCCCATTATGGTTCAAATAAAGCTATGCCTTTAAACCCAAATCACTCTGGTTTTCTGGCCAATTATAGGTCCCAGCCCAGACCTTCTGAGTTCATTGCTTGGGTTGTGATGGCTCAGAATAAGTGTAAATAGCAATTGTTTCTGTTCTGGCCAGAAAATCTGAGGGTCTTTCCCTCCCAGATTGATTCTTTTGTGAAGGCAAAGCAGTCCATCTTTTGCCTCAGTTCTTACCTAGACTTTAACTACTGAATGTGCGTTGCCTCAGACAAACTGAATGGGAAAGAACTTTAGCTTAAAAAGGCCAAGATCTCCCACTGCATCCTGGGTCGTCACCAGCCATTTTGACCTATGTCTTGCCACTGAACTCCAATGACTCAGGAGGAGAGAGTGAGGCTGATGACTCTGCACAGCTCTGCCTCACTTAAATCCAATTGACTTGCAAGTCAACAAATCACTCTACTGATCTCATTGGTCCTTCATTATGGTGCCTTTTAACATAATATACTTTCCTTGTTTATCTCTTTTAATTAAATCTATTTTAGCTTTAATTTTTTCTGAGATCGTGATTGCTACCCCTGCTTTTTTGAATCAACTAAAGCATAATAAATTCTATTCTAGCCCTTTATTTTTACTCTGTGTGTATCTTTCATTTTTAAAATGTGTTTCTTGTAAACAACATATTGTTGGATTCTGGTTTTTAATCCATTTTGCTATCCATTTCTGATTTATAGGTGAGTTCATCCCATTCACATTCAAAGTTATAATTACTAGTTTCATATTTTCCTCCATCCCATTTTCCTCACTGTTTATCCTCTCCCTCTCTTTTTACCCTACCTCTCCTCAGATGTCTAATTTACTTCTAACCACAGCCTCCCTAATCTGTAACCCTTCTATGAATCTCTCCTTTATTCTCTCCCTTTGTCCTTATATTTCTTAATCTATCCATCCTTGCAAGAGTCCCTCCCCTTATACTCTTATTTCTTGATCTGCACCCACTTTTAAGAGTCTCTCCCTTATCTTATCTCCTTGCCCTCTTATTTTTTAATCTGCATGCCTTCCCACACTTATTCCATCTCCTAACCCTATTTCTCTGTAAGTTAAGCAAACTTTTATACTCTTTTAGATGTATATGTTATTCCCTCTTTAACCCAGTTCTGATGAGAATAAGGTTCTAGCACTACCAGCCTTCCACCCCTTCTTGCCCTCCAATGTAACTATTCTTCCATTCACACCTTCTTCTTGTGAGATAATTGCTCCATTTTACCTCTCCCAACCCAATTTTGTTCTTAGGATCATCCCATCACACTCAAATCAACTCCAAGCCTATGTATGCTCTTTCAAACTATCCTAGTAATGATAACATTCTTAAGAGTTATAAACAACATTATCCCATATAAGAAATAAACAGTTTGACCCCAATAAATCCCTTATAATTGGTCTTTCATGTTTACCTTCTTATATTTCTCCTGATTCTTTATGTCTAACTTTCTTTTTATTTTTGTTGTTTTCCTCATGAATACCTGAAAGTCCTCTAAGATATTAAATATCTATTTTTTCCCATGCAGGATTACACTCAGCTTTGCTGGGTAATTTATTCTTGGTTGCAAACCCAACTCTTTGCTCTTCAGTATATTATGTTCCATGCCCTTCTGCTAAATCTTGTGTTATCCTGACTCCACAGAATTTAAATGTTTTCTTTCTAGTTGTTTATAGTATTTTCTCCCTGATCTGGGAGCTTCAAAACAGCTATAATGTTCCTTTAGTTTTCATTTCAGAATCTTTCAGGTGGTGATCAGTGGATTCTTTCAATTCCTATTTTACCCTCTGTTTCTAGGATAGTGGGGCTGTTTTTTCCATGATAATTTTTTGAAATATGATATCTAGGCTTTTTTTTTTATCATGGCTTTCAGGTAATCCAATAATTATTAAATTATCGCTCTTCAATCTATCTTCTAGGTCAGTTGTTTTTCCAGTGAGAAAGTTCACATTTTCTTCTGTCTCTTTTACTCTTTTGACTTGTTTTATTTAGGTTGGGTTTTTTTTTTGATATGTCATGGAGTCATTAGCTTCTACTTGCCCAATTCTAATTTTTAAGGAATTATTTTCTTCAGTGAACTTTTGTACCTCTTTTTTCCCCATTTGGTCAATTCTGCTTTTTTACTCAGTTATTTTCATTGAATTTTTGTATGTATTTTCCCATTAGGTCAATTCTATTTTTTAAGATGTTATTTTCTTCAGTATTATTTGTGCCTTTCTCACCAAGCTGTTAATTCTTTTCATAATTTTCTTCCTTTGCTTTCTTTTCTTTACTTATTTTTTTTCTACCACCCTTATTTGTTTTTTTTTTTTGTAAGGCAATCAAGGTTAAGTGACTTGCCCAGGGCCACACAGCTAGTAAGTGTCATGTGTCTGAGGCCAGATTTGAACTCAGATCCTCCTGACTCCAAGTCTGGAGCTCTATCCACTGCGTTGCCTAGCTGCCCCTCTTATTTGATTTTGAAAACCTTCTAGGAATTTTTGTTGGGCTTGTGTCCAATTGACATCTTTGAGGCTTTTCTTGTAGCTCTCTTGACTTTACTGTCTTATTCTGCATTTGTGTCCTGATCTTCCTTATCACCATAACAGCTTTTTATAGTCTGGCTCTTTTTTGTTGTTGTTTGTTTATTTTTTTCCATCCTATTTCTTGATTTGTTATGTTAATGTTATGTTAATTTTAATGTAATGTAATCTTAATGTAATGATATGTTAACGTAGGGCTCTGTCCTCAGTGTGTGTGTGTGTGTGTGTGTGTGTGTGTGTGTGTGTGTGTGTGTGTAATACAGGCTCCACCTCAAGCTGTTTTCAGAGTTCTGGGGATTTAGCATTTTTTGGTGCTTCAAGGTAATATGATCTGGAGGGAAGTGTAGTTATTGTTCTCTTGTCTGCACTCTGGTCTTTGTCCAGGAAGGGTCCCTGGTCCCTTGGGATTGCAATAGAAACTTCTCCTCAGGGCTTCTCTTTCCTTAGGACCAGAAATGATACTATTCCTCAGGGTCCCTGATTCCTTGAGGCAAGAGGTGTTTACTACCCCTCAGGGTTTCCGTTACTTTTTACCAAAAGTTCTCCTCTTTGCCCTTGAACTGTGACCTAGAGGTGGCTATAAATAATGGAGTTGCCAAACAGTTTTCCCTCAGAGCTCCCACTACCTCTTGATTGAATGTGCTCCTCTCTATACTTGAACTATGATCTGGAAGTGGGTATAGACAATGAAAATGCCAAATAGCATCTGGTTCTGCATCCAGTTTTCATATCCTATAATCTTTCTGAAAAGTTGTCGGGTCCCTTTATCATCTTTGGCTTAAGAGCTCCTGAAGCTGCTGTTGCTTTTGTCACCACCACCTAGTCCCAGAATTAATGTTTCATCTATGTGGGCTCCAGGTCAGCTTCCTTCCTCATGTCACAGATTTCTCTTTCTGACCTCCTGTGTTGTCTTGGTCTAGAAGGATGTTTCACACTGACCTTTGTTGGCTCTGCCACTCCAAAACTCAATTTTAGGTGTTATTTTAAAGTTTTTAGAAGGAAATGTTGGGAGAACTCAGCTGAGTGCTTCTCTGCTCCACTACCTTGGCTGTGCCCCTGGAAGACCCTAGACAATTATTGTCCATTTTTGCAATCTAATTTCTCCAGACCATATAGGTAGGTACATAGCTGGTGGCTTATGGGATTCTCCATCTACCTGGACCTGATCCTACCATATTCTCCTGGCTTTCACTCCACTCTATTAGAAATATACTTTATTTAATACCTCCCTGCTTCTCTCACTCAACTCTGTGTTTGAGAAATTAAACACAGAATTTTTAAAGCATTTGCAAAGTTGCTTGTTTGCAAAGCATTTTATGCATTTTGTGATTTGATATTTATAAGAACCTTGAGATCAAGCCTATTTTATAGGTAAGAAAACTGAGGCTTAGACCAAGTAACTTGGTCACACAGTCACACAACTAGTAAGTATCCAAAGCATCATTTTAAACCAGGGCTTTCCTGATTGGAAATTTCTGTTTTCTCGTTATACCATTCTGCCCCTCATGGGAAAAGGCTGATGAATATCTGTTACCTGGTTGGGATATACAAATTAGTTAATCATTTGGTGAAAAAAATTGACTGGTCTTTATTATCTAGCTTAAAGGAACAACTCTAAATGGGGGAGGGGGAGTCAAGTGGAAAGGGAGGGTAGGCTGGGATAGGAAGTGGTGGTAGAAAAGGAACTAATTTTAGAAGTTGGGATCTATGTCCTCTCTCTGTCTCTCAAATTATATCTTATAAATAGATTTCAAAAGATGACCCTTGGAATTTGGGCAAAGTCTATATCTAGATTTGATACAGAATGTAAGCTCTGATGGAAGGGACTGTTCCATTTTAGTCTTCTTATTCCCAGCAACTAGCCCAGTACCTGCCACATAATAGGTACTTTGTGAATGCTAATGGAAGGAAATAAAGGATGAAGAAAGAAAGGAAGAAAGGAAAGAAGAAAAATTTAGGTGAGGCATCCAGTGCATTCTCTTGTGATGTTTTCATTTCACAAGGTGGTTTTTTTTTGTACATGCTTCTTTCTTGTTCTTTGAATATTACAGTGTTTGTGGGGATTTTAGATGGTTAAGTTTACAATAAATAAGAAAATTTAATTAAAAATATGTGATGTTCTTTTGGAGAGGATAATCCCAAGTGCAAATGAAGATACAAACAAATAAAATAGTTTTATTATTACCTTGCTAAATTATATAGATATATATGCATACCTATATGTATTTCTTTAAAATTTTGTATGTATATATGTGTATATGAAGCTTACAATTTCTCATATGAGTTATTTTCTTGCTTTTCTTTGTATATTTAGGTCTTTATTTATTATCATTAAGTTCACAATAAAAAATAAAATTTCATTTAAAATGTTCTTTTCTGATGGAAACCCCTTCATGGAGGAAAATGTTGAATTTGTGACCAGTTTCCTTGGGATGATGCTTCTGGCTGAGGAATTCAATCTACATATCACAATTTTATTTTGTAAATATGAAACTTTCCAAATGTTCTTAAGTCATCTAAAGCAAGTCCCTTGATGTTATAGATTGACCATTTCCAAATGTTCTCTACCCATTTCTTCAGGTAAGAAATGAACACAACATCACTATCTATAGCTCTGGCTGTGTTTTTGTTCTGAGCATACTGCTAGTGCATCTTGAAATGAAAACATCTTTACAATGCATTCATTTCAAAGATAAAATTTGATTTGTTCCTTCACCATTCTCTTGGACACATCCATTTATGGAGTCATAGAACATAGGATGTTAGGCCTGGAAAGAACCTGCAAGATGAACCAATCTAACACTCTCGTTTTTGAGATAAGTAAAGTGAGGCCTAGAGAAGCAAAGTGACCTATCCAAGGTCCTACAGCTTGTTAATGGCAGACACATTATTAGAGTCCAGTTCTCTTAACTCCAGTACTAAAAAAATTAATCCTAATATCTGATTTTATTAATTTGGAAGCTCCTAGTGAGAAAACTACATTTACCAATGTACCTACTGTACAATTTTTTTACATACAGTATTACCTGAGTCCATGAGAGGTTAAATGACTTGCCAATGCTTGTGCAGCATTATTAAAAGTATGTTTTAGATGTGGGACTTGAACCCAAGTCTTCCTGCCACCAAGAGATAGCTCTCTATTGATTATACCACAGTTTCTATATCTTTTTTTGATTACATCATAAAAATGAAACAATGGCACCTTTAACACTAGCTATCCATCTTTTAAAAGTGTATGCTACTCATCATTATCTTAGTTGATCCTTATAACCACCCTGTGAAATGTATTATTATTAGTAGTAGTAGCAGTAGTAGTAAAACTGATTCCACCAGGGTAGGGGCTCCCTCCACTGACACAGATTGCAACCTCTCCGTGCTCTAGCCGACAGTCTTCATGAGATGTGATACACAAAAATACGCTATTTAACTGGTGGCCAAATTGCAGTGATGACCTCTTCTGCACAGATCAAGGCAGATAGGAAGACAATAGATCTCAAATATATTTCCAGGACTATATCTGAAGCCTTCTAGCTGTGTAAGGGTGAAATTGGGGGGGGGTGTTGACTTGTCAGAGCCTTCATTCTGTCAAATGAGAGAAATGATAATTTCTCTCCTATTAATAATCAAGTTAAGGTTTTCCCTTTCCATTTCCTCTTTCAGAGATAAAGCCCTGTAGGTTATTCAGCTAGTCTCTGAAGGACTTTGCTGATAAATGAGATTGCCCAAATCCTTGGGGTATGTGCTTTTTGATCTTTGATCTTTGACCCCACCCAACTCGAAGACCTTATAAACAGAATCCAATCTAGGTGAGATTTTGTCCTTAGGAAATAAACCCCTGTCTGTCCTTGGAACCTTCTATTAGAATTTTGGGTGATACACCTTATAAGGGGGAAAACCAATCAGTATGGTCAGGATAGAAATGGATGCTTTCATGCAGATTGCTGGAGGTGGCTAACTCTTACCATTAAGTCCTGTTCTCTGTAGGAGAAGCTGAAGACTTTTTGCCCACCTCCTTATGAATATGCCCACCCCCTCATTGATCACTAACCAATCAAAGTTGATTTACACCCTCAGGTACATCCCACTTTCCACAGGCTTTTTAAGCATTCAGAAGCCCTTAAGGCTCATGTTTGATCCCTGAGAGTGCCACTGACCTCTTTTATTAATTATTTTCTAGCCATAATTAATAAAATAATTGTTAATTACCCAGAAAAGTCTCTTAGACTTTTCATATGTAACAAAGCTTGCCTTTGAAAACTCAGGGACATTTCCTCACATTCAAATCTTGCTTAAGACATATTCTGGGGCAGCCAGGTGCACAGTAGATGGAATACCGGACCTGAAGTCAGGAGGACCTGAATTCAAATCCAGCCTCAGACCAATACACTTGATATTTACTAGTTGTGTGACCCTGGGCAAGTCACTTAACCCCAATTGCCTAAAAAAAGAAGAAAAAGAAAAAAAGACACATTGTTATGGTGTGACCCTGGACTAGTCATTTAACATTGCTCAGCCTTGGTTTCCTCATATGTAAAATGAAGGAATTAGACTCAATGGCATCTAAGGTCTCCCCTGGCTCTAAGTCTATGATCTTATGTTCCTTTATGTAGTAAATCCAGTCAGTCATTTTCACAAAGAGAGGAGCAGTTTTAAAGCTGTTACTTCATAACTAGCACCATCTGACTCCTTATACTAACTATTGTTCCCTTTCAGGGACATGATTTGACCTGTGGTGTATCTGAATCCATCCAACCATGAGCTGTTTGATAATGGGCTCTTCAAATTACTCAATCATAGAATCTCAGCATGATGGAGTTAGAAGGAACCTTGGAGATCATCTACTCTGGCCTCCTCATTTTATAGGTGAAGAAATTAAGACCTAGGAATGTTAAGTGAATTTCACAAAGTCTCAGGAGTAGTAAGTGACAACACTAAAGTTAGAAGCTGGGTCTTCTTATTTCCAGTATGGGGCTCTATGGTGTGATATTATATTGACAAGTCATGATTTTAAAAATGAATTTGTAAATAAAATCACATTTGCAATGGACTAAATGAGTTTGCTATTTAATAAATAAATCCTATGGTGAATGCTTCAGAACACTTACCTTTTGTGCAAATTCAGATTTACTGCTTTGCTTTCTTACTTCTCTCTTCTGGCTTGTCTGGCTTCCTTCATGACTCAGTTCAAATCCCATCTCTTGTAAGAAGCCTTTCTTACTTCTCCCAGGAGCTGGTGTCCTCTGTCTGAGCTTACCTTTCACTTGCGCTGTAGGCTTTTCTTGTACTTTGCCTGCCCCATCAGAATGTGAGCTTTTTGAAGGCAGGGACTTTGATTTTCACCTTTCTTTGTATTCCCAGTGCTTAGCATGGTGTTTGGCACATAGTAATCACTTAATAAATGTGTGTTAACTGCCATTGATCCCTAAAACAAAATCCTGTGATGAATCCTTCTTTAAACTTTTAATCCAGCAGATGGCAAGCTGCAGGTGACAGGTCAGACCATCAGGCCATGCTTTGCATCCCATCTAGCCATCCACCCAGCAGTCTTATCCATTCTGCCACTGCCCACACTCTGAAGAGAGTTGGGGGAGGGGATAGGCTTCCACTCTAACTTTGGGCACAGTAAACAAATCTTTAGTGCCATTATTCCTGGAAAGGGTATGTCAATAAACTGCCCTTTATATGAACTTACCATCCCTGTGACTCACCCAGACATACCTTTCCTTGGCCACTACTCCATAGATGAGATGTCTTTCCCTATTAGAATGTAAGCTCCTTAAGGGCATTCTAGTTAACTTTTATAGCATTGTGCTTGGTGCACAGTAGGAGCTTAACAAATGCTTTTTAAAATTCATTTGTTTATTCAAATCATGGTGGCACAGATTAAAAACAACTTGGGCTAGGTCTCAGGAAACCTCAAATCTGATGGGCAAGATACTAGACCTTTCTGGGTCTTGGTTTCCTCTTGTGAAAAATGAAGGAGTTGGTCTAGGCAACCTGTAGAGTTGTCTTCAGCTCTAAAACTTTTATTTTTGCAAATGCTTTCACAAATAAATATTTACATCTGTCTGTTGGAATTTCATAGTCTGATAATGCTTACTATTACAATTTCTTTGTCAGCATCATTTATATACTACAAAAATGGAATAATTGGTCAATTTCAAAAGGTTCAAAGTCAACAATAAAGCATAGTTTCAACCTATAGCGATAATTTGAGGGGAAAAGGCACCTTATGGTTTGCTCTTACTCGCTAGTAATCACATCTTGACAATGAGGCAGTAAAACTTCTAAGAAAGAGTTCAGAGCCCTTCTCAAATATTTCTTATTCATTTGAAAATTGAAGGCTGCCCAGGCTTAATGTGAGAAAGCTGCCATGGATTTTTACTAAAGATATCCTTTCTGAATTAAAAAAGGTTAAGAGCCTCATTGACATGGAGACAGAGCTGTTTAATAGAAAGCACAGGAATCCTAGATTTGTTTCTTAAGGGCTGTGTGACTTTGGGTAATTCACCTGTCTCAACTTTGTTTTCTTCATCTTCAAAACAGAGGTTTGGATTGGCTGATCTCTGGAGTCCCTTCAAACTCTAGATCTGTCTCCATTTCCTTTAATCTTCTTTGTCTTGATCCAGTGGTGATGATAACCTTTCTTTAAAAAAGATTCTACTTTTAAATTTTAATTTGTACCAGTCTGCCTGAGGCAAGGAGGGCATGCAATAAAGTTGGTGTCGATTTCATGTTTTACAGAAGTTTGTAAAGCCTAAGGAAAAAAAAAAAGATCTACTACGGATTTCTATGTTTTCACCATATCAGCATAGCAAATATTTTTCAGAAATGACTAGGCCTTAAATATTCTAATTCAGACCATGAGGTTTAGGTTGGACTAGCTAAAACTCAACTGCGTCGTCCTTCTCTCCTTTTTTCACCCCAGTTCCTTACTTCCTGGCAGTATTCTCTAATCATTTCAGGAGGAAGATAGCCTTGTCTTTAACACTCAACAACGCTAAGAACTCTTTGAAAGAAGATACTGCATTACTTATTCTTCCCTATTTCTAATTTTCCTGTTTCAGTGCTGAGCATGAGATTGGTGCCTGATTACTCTTTTTGACCTTTAAAATAAAAATTCACACTTTGTCTCACAATTTGGGTGGATAACAAACCGCTCTCCAGACTTTTTCCAAGGCTCAGCTAAGAAGATCGATTGAAAGGAATTATTAGTGTCAGATATTTCTTGACACTGCTTCACTGTGTGATATTGGGCAGTTCAGCTAACCACTCTGGACACCATTTTCTTAGATGTAAAATGGGGCCATTGGGTCAGATGACCTCTAAGGTACCCTTCAGCTCTGGTAGTCTGATTCTATGAGTAGAACAGAACTCCAGTGAACACACATAGAATGTGTCTACATAAGGCAAGCAGTGTTTTTAGGCATCCTATATTAATGAATTCTAATGTATTTTTACTTCTTTTGAATGCCTGCACAGCAAGAAAGGAATGTTTGGCACTGAATAATGCAATGAGGGCATTCCTTGATGTCAGTACACAGATGGTCTGAAAAGCAATCCCTAGAGTTATACCTTAGGGCAGTAGCTCCCAACATTTTCTACCCTATGAAACTCAACAATAACTAAAAATGCATTATAACCACCAGGGTAATTTAATATACAAGTCACAATATTCTTTTATATTTGTTCATTGCTTGTTTACAATAATCATAATGGTAATTTTTATTCAAAAGAGTTCCAAATTATAATTTATATGTAATTATAAAAATATTATTTTGTTTACAATTATAAAACTCTAAAATAATAAAGCTAATTACAAATATGTTTTTTTTTGATGAGGCAATCAGGGTTAAGTGATTTGCCCACAGTCACACAGCTAGTATCAAGTATCTGAGGCTGGATTTGAACTCAGGTCCTCTTGACTCCAGGGTAAGTGCTCTATCCACTGTACCATCTAGCCGCCCCTAATTACAAATATTTTGTGTAGGACATTCTGTAAGAATTAAAAGAAGACCTCATATGCTTACTAATATCTGCAAGACTTAATACTAAATTTCTTTATTTTATAATTTTTTGTTGAATACAAATAACATTTTTAGTGAAAGGCTGTAGACAGTTTATGCTTGTTATACATTGAGTTTATTTCTATATTTTGATTTAAAACAAGAATAAAATGAAAATATTTGCTCATACAAATACATGGTAGAAAATGGGACAATTTTACAAGCTCTCTCAAGAAATGGAAAATCATTTTTTAAAATTTTAGCCAAAAATTTATGTGGCTGTCACTTTTGTATGATGCTTCCAGTCTAAAATCCCTTGATATGTCAATTAAGTTGTCATTTCATCATCTAGAGATGTAAATGACATATTAAAAGCATTGTATGTCCAATTCAATTTATTGGAAATTTCAGGAAAATATTCATTAGTCACTTCGAAAAATTTCACATAATCACTGATGTCTTTCTTGACAGCCTGATCCAAAGATGGTTCATTTTCATAATAAGGTAATTATAATAGTACTTAGCACTTACTTTAAGGTTTGCAAATGCTTCACAGATTTTATCTCATTTTATCCTTACAACAACCCTGAGAGAAAAGTACTCTTTTCAACCCTCATTTTAAAGATGAGGAAACTGAGACCTAGAGAGAAGATAATCAATTTACTCACAGTCACGCAGCTAGTAAATGCCTAAGGCCTAACTTGAACTCAACTCTTTCTGTCTTCAGGTCCCATGTTCGATCCATTGTGCCACCTAGCCACCAAGAAATGAGCTAATGTCACAAAGCATTCAATTCTATTCTCAGTTGTGTGGTTCCAAAACTTTAGCCTCTTAATCACATTTTCTATGTCTTGAACACCAAATATATTTTTATTTGCATGTGCTGAGTTAGTTAATTTTTGATAAGACATCTACTATGTTAATCTTTGAAGCCATGGCATATCACTTGCACATTCAGGTGAAAAAAAAAAGGTTAGTGAAGAGAACAAACAATTCTTCCTTCAATTCACATAGATAAATAGTAATTGCCATGGGTAAGCCATTTAAAATCTTTCCATTTTAGAAGTGTAACATGCTCATTGCCCATCCAGCTGCATGAAATGGTAAACAATCAACAGTTAGCACATCCTGATTTTGTAAAATTAGTTATTTTGAGACCTAATCCAACATGCTTTTAAGTTGTTGTGGCATTCTTTTTAGTATCAAAACTTCTTTGTGCATGCTGCAGTGTGTCCATGATGTATTTGTGTTAAGCTTTTGCTACGTGAAACAACACCCCCAAATTTCTCATTGATTTTGCTCCATCTGTGCAAATTCTACAAGGAACAAATTGATTTGTTTTCCTTTGAAATATGATTTAATTAGATCAAAAATGTCTTCTCCACTTGTACATCCTGTTAACTGATAATAAAGCAGTATACTCTCTTCCACTTCACCATAATGCAGATGCTTACAAATATAATTAAAATTGCTAGGATATAAACATCATTTGTCTTATTTAATTTTGAAGTGTAAATATCACTTTTTAAAATTATTTCTATAATAACTGATTCAACATCATCAGACATATTCACCCAATAAAACACTGTATTATTAGAAACAGGTGTCACCCCAGCTTCTTAATGGAATCATCTCTAAACAAACATGACAATTTCTTTGGTAAATGAAAAAATTAATTTTTCTGCAATAGAAATGTGTTTCCACTTTTTTTTTGCAATTTAATATCTTATAAAATATGAAGTTTCAATCACTTCACTTTCTTGTCTATTCACAGAAATAGATGAATCAATATTTTATGTTTTCAAATCTTGTTCTTTCCACTTAAAAAAATCAACATAGCTTTCATATTTTGATTGTAAACATCAAGACATAACAGAAAGTTTTAAGCTGTTATTTAAAAGAACTCCACAAATTACACATTGATGCTGTGAATTTCAATATCTTTAAGAAACAAAAAGTTAAATTTAATGCATTTTTTCATGCCTGTTGTAATACAGGTATCTTGAATGTTTTTATATATTACTTTTGAATTGTGGCTACC